TGTAAATGTTGAATATAGAAAATGCCGTGGTTCGCAAAACAAATATTTATTATATAGTAATAAGCAGAGATACACCCAGAGAAATACAAGCAAAGTTACATGCAGATTTACAAGCAGAGAGTGAAAAGAATCAGAATCATCACTTGACATTTGGTACGTACCACCGAAGGGTATTAACCGATAAATAAAAAGTGCCCATAGGCCGTTCGCGGTTGTTTATTGTAGATCAAAGGGTGTTACTTAACACCCCCACCATGGAGACGAAAAGAGAGATGGCCTGAGGCCGCAACGGTGTCGGGAAAAGGAGCAAGGTAAGGATGAGAGGCTAAAGTTCAAACAAATTCATGCGTAAAGCAGTATATCAAAATACTAGACCAAGCAGGCTCGAAGACTTGAGGTCGATCAGCAACTTCTTACTCATCAGATTCGGCAATTTTCATCAGAAGCATGGCCGCATTAAAACCTGCAATTAGTTTCTCGGCTGTAGATTTTGCAGCTCTGATCTTCTCTATTTAGGATATTATTGTTTTCAGCAAACTGTTTACTTTCTTATCACCAAGCCATTCTAAGGCTTCGCTAGGAACTTTCGGCGGGGGTTTGATTCTTTCCTTCAATTTCTCACTGTATTGAGCTCATACAGATTTCTTTTGCTTAGCGTTTTTGTCAATTTTGATCAGCTCTGGAAAATCTGCATCGGTTGGGGGTGCAATAATCTTCTTTGGCGAAGCTCTCCTCGCTTCAAATACAAGTCGGCTTTTCTTCATTTTTTAGGGTGCATTGGTTGCTTCTGTGATTTTTGCCGCACTTACAGCAGCGAATCATGTTATTGCATAGATGTTGCGAGTGACCCCACTTCTGGCATCTATACCACTGAGTAGGGCGTTTCTTCGGGGTGTAATTCTCAATCTTTATGTCACGCTGAACATACAGTTCAGATTGTGAATGGCGTATCCAGCTTTGTTTTTCTCTAACTCGAGTAAGTAGATCGGCAGTTTTTCTTGATTATTTTTCCTTGACCGTTGGAATTGCCTAACTTTCTTGATTGGAAAGTTTCTTCGTTTCAAATCTTGAAAGATCGCGTCTTCTGTGATTTTATCAGGTAAGTTTTTCAGGATCTCCCGAATTGGCTTTTCGAAGTTCATTAGGAAAGTATGAAAGGGAATGCCTCTTCTTTGCAGCAAGCTGGTGGCATTTCTGTAGTCGTCGATGGTCTTTACCTTTACCATTGTTTTCGCCTTCATTTCGGCCTCTCATCTTTGCACACGCTTAACAAAATTTCTTCCAGTTTCAACCAATCCACGGCTTGGTTCTGGAACACAATGGGCTGTGGGTCTTCATCTAAACGGCTCCTACTCTCTTTGCATTTCAAGTAACTTGAATCTGTTTTCGTAAGATATTTCCTGTAGTGGGGTATTTTCCACCTTTTTTTCCGATTTTTCGGTGTGATCCAAACTTCTTTTTCCTCTTCGCTAATTACAACTGGACTAGTATCCATGGCCGTCTGAGTAGCTTCTTTACTGCAGCTTGTAACTGCTTCAGGCGTGGCATCCTCACCAATTCCTTCCACCTTTTTCCCTACGTTATCCTTTTTCACGGCAATTCTTTGCTTTTCCCGTTCCAGAGTTGCTTGTACCCTTTCGGGAGACAACAAATCTACTATCAACTGTAACGTTTTCTCTTCTTCTCCAACTTGTTCTGCTAGTTCCGCCCAGCTTTTTCCTTCCTTTACCCGTCCTGTATTCTCACTGCTACTTGACTTCTTCGAAGTTTTCACCTTCTTATACTTTTTCTGAGGAGACTTGATAAAATCTTTCCTCAAGGGTAGTGATTTCTTCGCCCTGAACGATCTGTCCGAATCTGAGAATTCCTCGTCCGTCTGGTCCAGTTGTGTCCTTAAAAAGGACATTTTCAATTACCATACGGTAATCCGCTTCAGATTAGTACTCACCGTAATAAAGACAACAATTTTCAACACAACTACGAGTAAACCGCCCTATCCGCCTACGGGACTGGGGTCGTTCCTTCACTCGTGACTGCTACCGCTCGAATGACAAAACTGACGGAGAAGATATGATCATTTATTTTTGAGAGAGTGAAAAATTTACAGAGGATATATATATATAACAACAGATCATGGTTTAACAAATCATAAACAAGACACAATAAACAATCAATCAAAAATAACATAAAGAATGGGATTAAGATTCAGAATAATTCGGACCTGACCGAAAGCTAATGAATGTTCAGATCTCTATGAAGATTTTTGTTCCTGATGAAGTAAGGTGCTCCAGTAATTAGTCGTAAAGATTTATTTTGGTTGGTTTGATGTTTTGCATTTGCCCAGCCAGGCGAGGCATCTGAAAAACTTCTGTCATTAGTTTACAGAGGATATACATATGTTACTGTGAAAGACCGAAATTGGTGAATGACGACTTTCACCGGAGAATGTCAACATTCACCAAATACGTCGGTGAAAGATCGAATATTGCATTACATTCTTGTACATTCGGACCCTCACCGGTGTATGTCGACAATCACAGATATGCTCTGGTGAAAGTCGAAAAGAGAGGTCATAAAGTGCCATAATAGTTTAAGTTGTTGCAATAATAAATTTGAATCACATAATTTAGTAAGTCTTTTATTACTATTATTTTATTTTCTGATTTAGAACGTACTGTATAATTCAGTAAGTTTTTAACTTCTATTATTTTCCTTTCTTATTTTGAATGTACTGTGTGTTTTAAGTTCTTATTTTAAGTCTCAAGTGCGTTTTTTCGAGACTGAATTACGGAGAAGAAAATATAATATTCTTATATGTTCAACATTCACCATTAGTACATGGTGAATGTCGACTTTTACCGGTGTAAGTCAGAAATAAGAGGGTTTTTTTTTTTTTTTTTTTTTTTTTACTTTGAGAACATACAGACTCCCCGTGCACCACATATGTACAACACGGGGCTTACAGAAGTAAGTTAACTAGAACATTAAAGGTTACATGATAAATAAACATTAAAAATTACATGCATAAATAAAGCGAACAAAGCAGAGAACAGCAGTCTGGACTTCACGAAACAGATAGGTTCACTGGCCAAGTCACTCCGAACATTTTCAAATCGTTCTGTAAGCATAATCTAGGGCCATCAAATGTAGGGCACGAGAAAATCAAATGTTCCACATCCTGAGGAACTTTTTGAACATTCACATAAATTGTTTGATCGCAGATTTAACGAAAAACGAAACAGATACTTGCAAATTTACCGTGACCAGATAAAACTGAGACACTTTAAAATTTAACGAGAAGGAAAGATCGGAATTCAGTCTATGGTAAATAGAAGGAAGGAACTTTTTGGTGACTTCAGCATTACAAGATGAAATGTATTCCTCATTCCATATAGCTAAAAGCTTTTTATAATGAAGGACTTCCAATAACTCTTTGGAATGCTAATGTTGATATCAATGGGTAAATTTAAGGCATCTTTAGCTAAGAAATCAGCTCTTTCATTTCCGTAGAAACCATGATGAGCACGCACATAAGCAAAGCAGATATCAATACCTCTAATTCTAAGTGAACTAACAGTTACTAGGGTTTCGATAACTAATTTATCGCAGCTGGTAATACTGTTCAAAAGTTGAAGAGCAGAAAGAGAATATAATAAGAATATAATAAATAATAATAATAAGAAGAATATAATAAAGAGCAAATAAGGTACTTTGAGGATGTTGTCCCATGATACTGGATCCATTTGACGGCAAGATAAATGCACAGAAGTTCTGCTTGAAAAACTGTACATTCATTCCGTATACGGTGTCTTAAAAAACAAATCTCGGAATGGCCTTCAAAAAGAACAAATGCAAGGCCAACCTTGTTGTTCATCTTGCTGCCATCTGTAAGGAAAACCATATGAAAACTTATTTCAGCAGTCTCTTTATAATCGCAGAAATTTATGGGTTCTAAAGAAGCGGGATGAGGAAGATCAGTGAAGGGGACAATTCCATTAATACAGTCTTCCGAAGCATGAGTTGCCAATGACTCAAAAATATTATTCTTATATGCAATAAATATTTCGGACCTACACCAAGCGACTATGTGAATGTTGACATTCACCGGTGAGAGTCGACATTCTCCAGATTTCGGTGTTTCACCGTAACATATATATATAACTTTACAACAGATCATGCTTTAACAAATTATAAACAAGATACAATAAACAACCAATCAAAAATAACATAAAGAATGGGATTAAGTTCCGGAATAATTCGAACCTGACCGAAAGCTAATGAATTTATGGGACGTGACAGAAAGCTATACATACATCCTTTTAACTAGTAAGAATGCGATTACAAATATCTCAACAGTAACACTGGGAAGGCAAACTTTTTTGAGTTCTTAATAAAAGGGTCTTTTACATACTTATTACGTTTCTGTTTGCTTACCTGGACACTGCTAAAATCTACATAGAGTCTTGACACAGTGTACATTACCAAAACAAGTGAGACTCTACAATATAAGGTAGTGAATTTTAGATACATCATTATTTATAATTGTATTTATCGATACATAATTTTATTAACTCGAAGAATGAACTTCAGAGACAAAGAACTGATACCTTTCAAATTCTTATTTGATTCTTAATGTTTTAAAATGAAAGCTCATTTTTATATATTGACTGAAAACAAATTAAATAAAATTTATATCAATTTTTTTTCTTATTACGAACTGAAAAATTATATTCAGTACACTTTCATAAAATCGATTTCAACAATGCAAATCCGTGACGAGATCTTATTAAGGGAAGGTAGTTCTTGCATTCGGAAAAAAAGGGAGTCACTTGATTCTATCCTCGGGAATTAAAACAATTTGAATTACTATCAGATTCATAACCAAAATGCAGAATGTTATTTCAGTTATATATCCACAGTGCTTTTGTTACTTTGATTAAATTTTTCATTTATCCTTTTTTCAATGTTGACTCATGAATTTTCATTAATATTTTTTGCAGCTATCAAGACTGAACTCCACGAAAACAAAATACAGTTAAAAATCAAGTTTTTGCAGTTCGAAAGCAGTAAAATGAAGAAGACGCAGTTTTGCTGAATTCAGGGAGTCATGTGTGTGTTGTTATCAGTTTGGTTTTTTTACATATCAGCTGTGCTTGCAGTTGAAGGAGCGAAGGCTACAGTTACAAGTAAGAAACATTTTGTTAATTTAGAATGACTTCTAAGGAAAAACTGCATGTTATATTGTCAGTATTATTAGATTTGTTACTTAAGTATGTGTTATTATTTGAAGCCATTTTATCGATTAATTTGAATTAAACGTATTCGCGGTTTCATATTCAACTGTAGATGTGTTACTAATTTTCAAAAACGTTTGTATAGCGAAGTACTTATAATATAATCAACATACTACAAAGGTGAACCTTTATATGAATTTTCATAAAAGAGGTGACACACATATTTATATATTTTCTGGAAAAGAAGGTAATATCTCCCAGATATCTTTTACTTTAACGAGATAATTTTTAAACTTGTATGCAGCACAAGCCAGGTTCTTAAGATTTTGAAGTTGGTTAGTTTGGGTTAAATGAGGAATTATGAAGGAATGTCTATCGTGCGAACATAATTGTTGTGCCAAAATATTTTTATCTAAGTTCATTGTAACAACAGCTGGTAAGATTACAAGAAGTGATGATTAGATAATTCGGTATTGTGGCGCGACTTTCAAATTCCTTGTTCGATCACCCGTTAAAGACAAATTTCTATAAAGTTAAAATTTTAAATATGCATAAAGCTGAACTTAAAAGGAGAAAACTTAAAAAGAGACGAATGAAATCATTGACTATCCCACTTGCAGAGTAAAAGCATGATAAGGACCATAATATGTTTTCATTGTCATTAATTTAACAAAATGCAACACGACATGTTCATTTTTGAGCATTGAAAAGTCATAATTTTTTGACAGAATCAAATGTCCAGTAACATAGCACTAAAAGTTGCATAAATTAAATTTACTAGCTTAAAATAAACATTATAGAATAGCCAAAAATTTTATTTCAAAAATAAATAAAGTATAAGGAAAACCAAACCCCAATAAATGCGCGCTCATAGCTGCTGCAATATTTTGAATTGGAGCTGCGCGCATTTAAATGCTGAGAAATTAATTCAATAAGAAGTAAATAAAATTTAAAACACATAGTAACCAAGAATGGTAAATTATCTAACAGGAAGGCACAAATTAAAGGCAATTTAGAATTAAAACTTGGGAAAACTTGAATCAAAAGTAAATTAATACAAAACTAAACAAAAATTAAAAATTAGCTAAAAGTTGATGTCAAGGAATTATCAATTTTAACAATTTGTGATTGCTTAAAATATTACGCATCAATGAATATTAATATTACGCGATTAATATTAAATCAATTACTATTAAGTGAAATGAATAGTGATATAAATGTTATTAATTGATTTGATATTAATAAAATCAATAATTAATTAAAATATGTAATTTAAATCAGTTAATATTACGGTTATATTACTCAAATTTAATGTGAAATTCTTAAAACAATCATGAATGTGCTAAACTATTCACTTTGTCTGGAATCAGAATATAACTTCGTCAGTGTTTTCCGCTTAGTGAGAAATCAATCAACACTGACATTAGAACGCCTGACTATGCTGATAAAGAACTTTGTAATCAGAAATATCTCGGCATTCATCTCATCCCACTCAAATCCTTGATTTTAAATAAATAAGTAAATTGTCAGACAAATAATCACTTGTGCTACTTCTAAAACAAGTTCCGCAGCATCTTAGACTTTAAAATAAAGTTTTATACATCCGGATTTGATACAAATCAGCTTTCCAAGAACAACGAACTATATGTGCTGATCATATCACATCATAAATAAATATCAGTTTTAGTCATCGATCACATCCGGCACATTCTAATTTTAATTCCGGAAATATATTTTCATATCAGTATGAAATAAAATTTTATGTATAAAACTGATTCACTCTTCCATTTAATATATGGCCACCCTTTTCGGCGTCTTTGCGTTAAATAAAATAAATAATTAGTTGTTATTTGATTTTTCGAAATTGTATAAAGCTATATGGTAGAAATATAATAATTAATTAATTATGTAATTTTTTATTGTTCTTCATACTATGAACTGGTACAAAATGCATAGCGGAAAATGAAAGCTACTTCTAAATTGTACTAATGTTTTAGTAAGTAAAGTACGTTTTATAAAAATGCCATTTGGCGTTCTTATAATTAAAATATTAAAATAATTAAAATTTTATATAATTATAATTATATAAAATTATAATTAAAATTATAATTATAATTTATATTTATAATTAAAATTTTAAGCGCTTATAATTAAAATTTTAAGCGAGGAAACAACGAACACGTTGTTTCCTCGCTTAAAATTAAAACAAAGATTTTAGATTTATTTCTAAAATAAAAGATTCAGGAGGTAATTAGCCCTAATCATATTTCTCCCAAAGTTTTGTTTTAATGTCTTGACGTTGCTTAGGAATGCTTTTTCCGCCTGTTCTCCTGTCTCGGGTCCAGGTACGATTTTGAGGGGACGAGACAAGTGTATTATTTCTTAAATCTTTGTCTCTTTTTTCATTATATGTCTCGTTAGTCTCTAACTCGTAACTTTTCGCTTGATCTGTTATGATTTTCTTTCTACCAATTTTTCTACTACTGTTATGCGTATTTTTTGGAGGGGGGGAGAAGGAAGCTTATACACTGAAACAGAATAAGCAATTTTCGCAACAGAACCTGGAATTTTGCACATGGGCTATATTATAATGCAGTAATATTTCTCGTAACCGACACCCAATTAATCGGCAGTATCAAAATAATGATATATCTAGACAGATGTCTTGTTTTGCACCCGCTAAGTCTTTCTGCACCGATGGGCGAAAAATCAAGCATAGGTGCGAAGGAAAGGTATATAGAAAGAGGGGCAATTTCGTATTTGAGGAGAGTAAAAAGGAACTGAAGGGCTAAACAATTCTGTTCCTGTCACACTCTCCCAAGATAATCACGAAATAATTGGACATGTACCTGGAAAGAAGAAAGACGACAAGAAGGCTGAAGATATAAACAGTATGCAGAGCAAGTAAGTTATGTGGATAGAAGCTGCCGAAGGATTGCAGACTTTCATAAGATTTGCTGAGAAATATTCATCTATGTCAGTATACGATGTTATCAAGTTTCATTGTATGCAGAGCGAATTTTTAAAATTACAGAGACGATTATATAAGCAGGCAGACATTCGAAGTTATGTCCTCGATTCGTAACTTAATAGTAAATAACTGTAATAATAGATAAGTAACTTGATAGTAACTGTAATAATAACTAACTGAATAAGTAACTTGATAGTAACTATAATAATAACTGTACTAACTGTAGTAAATATTGTAAAATGTGTTTAACTTTGTTTTTTTTTAATACAAAATCGTAGTGTGTGTTTTAATTTAAATAATCTACGCGATTTTCCATGTTATTTAATTATGGCCCGAAAGATAGAAATATGCTGCAATTTCTGAAGACGGCGTTATAAAACGCAAAACACGCACAAGTAAGTTCTAGAAGTATTCATTCATTTATCCGAAAAAAAATTATCGTTATCCGTTAACGGCGCGTTCCCGTTGCTGCTATTTGAAAGGGTATTGTATGTAACATTTCATTTGATAAAACCAAGCAATTCGGATTTAAATAAAAATGCTTTTTTCAGTTTTATGATTTATATGAAAAGCAATGTAAATACGATAATTCCGTTCTGGTGGTCCATTCCTGGTGAGTAGGCTTGTTACATGGGGTCTTCATGGCCTTCCTCATATATTACATGAATAGGAGCCAATTTCCTTCAAAAAGCAATCCACATCCCTTCCGTCAGGCTAGTAGTCTTCGTGTGCCCTATAAATAAATAAACAACAACTAGTCTTCTACACATGAATATAGTGCAATTAAAAATTCAGTTTAATTTCGAATCAGTTAAGCGTTTGTATTCTTATTCAGTTTTGTATAGTTTTTCCTTTATCCCCAAAATGTGCGTAAAACCAATTCCCCCCTATTCCTATTACATACGTAATATCTAGAACAGTAGTTGACGAAACCTGTGTTATTTGTTACCGGTAAGTCGCTCCGCACTTTTTGTGAGAATGGCAGCGAGAATTTTCCCCCTCTAAGCTAATATTATAAATGAATGTAATAAATGCATGATTATCTAAAGAATTTAAATCATAATTTGCAAGTCATGTGATGCATAATACTGTAGCCCAAAATGTGTTCAAATTAAAACAAATCAGTGTATCTAGGATTAAATGAGGAAACTTAAGTTGTGTCATGGAAAATTTTGAAGAGAAATGTCCCATCATCGGAGGGGGGGGGGAGAAAAGGTTGAAAAGGACTTTTTTTTCTCAGAATACCGCTTAAGCTGCAGAATTTATTTGAATTTTTACCTCAGCAGAAAATTACGTTTCTCCCATTTACAAATTACTCGTTATTATAACATTGTGTGTAGGTTGTTCATAAATCAGGTAAATAGATATTTTTTAACTGCAAATTTCAGTTTTTTAAATGTATTACGGCTCCATACATGATGCTATTCTAAATATCAAATCGTAAAAATGCCCTAAATAGGTAGGTAGTTAACTTGATCGCATGATAATAACACAATATAAAATGCTGTTAATTTGCCTTTATTTTTCTGTGAGAAATGTAAACTCATTTTGAAGCTTCTAATATTAAAATTTTGTTTCATCAGGGTGTCTCCTATCAATATTCACTATTTCAGTATTGTACGTAGTTAGGCGGGCAACGAGGAAAGAAAAAAAAAAAAAAAAATATCAAGACAATTATCAGTAAGTTGAGTGATTAGATTAAAATAATTCAAATGATAATTACAGGCATCCTTATTAAAATCATACGATGATCTGAAAAGATAAGAAAATTCCAAGATCTAGAGCCGTGATACGAAAGATAGTTTCGTATTTCTGGGCATTCTTTATTTTCCAGCGCAGATAACATAAGAGTAATCTTCAGAATAATCAGCAAGTCGCTCTCGATAAAGAGCAGACTGGTGATTTAAATATATTCTTTTGCCTAGCCATTCTTTTTTTCTTTTATTCATTTTCAATTATTTATCAAACATATAAACATTTC